TTGATATTGGCTCTGAGCATGGCAGTTTTGCTTGGAGGAAAATATCTAGCCAAGAAGACTTTCTTCAACTCATCCCATGTGGTGATTGAGTTGGAAGGAAGAGATTGGAGCCATGCGCGAGCTCTGTCTCTGAGAGAAAAAGGGAATAGGCGCAATCGTATCGCCTCGGGGTTAACACCATTCGCTTTTACAGTGTCTGCGTACTGCACAAACACTGACAGATGAAGATTCGGGTCGTCAGTAGGAGCTCCAGAAAACTGGTTCTGCTGAACGGCGGAAAGAAGCGAAGGTTTTAGCTCGAAATCGTTTCGAGCGATAGCAGGAGCAGCAATACTATTGTGAGGCTCTGCTTGAGAAGGAACAGCGTAGTCCTTAAGAGGACGAGGAGCAGGAGCATCAGGATCAGCCATCTTCTTGAGTTCTTCAACGTCAGGAAGTTTGGTCGGAGGAAGGTTGTTGCATTCTAAATACTCTTGAATTCGTCTCCTTAATCTAAGGTAACGCTCGATATCGTATATAGGTATATGCAAAGGCGCGCCTTGAGAGCGAGTATTTGGCATACACAGAGGGAAAAGAAATAGTTGCTATAGTCTATACTTCGTAATAAAATTACGATATCGACTTAAATAGTCCCCGGCAACGGCGCCAAAAACTTGATCGCGACTTTATCGTCTAAATTAATCGGGAGACTGCAAGTATACAGCCCTATCGCGTAGTTTTAAAAGATATCGAACCTAAGGGACTATAAATCGAACTAACGTAACCTAAACTACTGTGTAAAGCTATAGCTATCGAATAATTAAATTGGGGAATTTTCGGGTAATAAAACTTAATTCTAATTGAAATAATAATAATACGAATATCGGTATGTACGTCGTTAACACTAAAGAATCCGGCTTTCTACAGGCTCATTTTCTAAAAGTGATAATAATATCTTTTTCAGCAAAAAGTATTTATTCAAAAATCTATTCTCAAACTTTCGCTCTATTGAAGTAAATTATAATTTTAAACTCTGATGTATGCTTTCGCTATCCCATTGATTTTAAAATTACTTTTTGAAAATAAATAAAGTTTAATTGGTTTTAAAACGCTGTCGCAGTCTTTAAAAACAATACCTAGCATCTACTATCTGATTCTAAACCTCAAACTGTCGCTCTGTTGGTTTCTAAACCTTTTTAACAAAATAAACTAGATAACTAAATCAGAAAAAGTGTTTATTTTATGAAATATAATCAGGCCTGTTTATTCCGGATCCATTCGAATTAACTCGTTACATACCGATATTTAATTAATTTAGCCAGACATACTCAGAAAAACAGACATGGATACATTAAAGGAATTAATAATCATAAATAATTTCATGGCTAAATAAATATTCTCATGCAAATAATTAATTAATTGATATAAATAAAGAACCTGAATTAAATAATGCTGGAAACAATCTTTGAAGCTTGAATCAATCCGTACAGAATCTTCGTTCTTCAACGGGAGTAAATTCTAAGTATTCGAAAGGAAAAGAAAATTGGCTGGAAATATAACTACTAGGAATCGAATTACACTGGAAACTAGTAAATTGCAATGAAAGTAAAATTCTGAAAACTGGAAAAAATTCTAAGCAAAAACGGTCCCAATTTTCACTTTCTCATGTCTTCTTATAGTCTTTGAACGTAACCACCTCTTCAGATATTTTCGTGTCCCACGTGTCCTTGAATTTCTCTTCTTACTTGCCCACGTTGAGACGGGCGCCCCAATTGACTTTTTCTTCCTTTGACTATGCTGAGACGGGCGCCTCCCACTAAGGGGAAAATCCGAGGCGGGCGCCTCAATTGTAGGAAGAGAGTTGAGACGTGCGTCTCACTCTTGCATGCGCTTTTAGGTTTTTCTTGCTACGTGGGTTTGAACTCTATTGGGCCCGTTTGGAGATAATAGACCCCTTTTGATCCATCAAAACTGCTTTGCACACCCCTTCTCTTCATTTCTTGCACCTTTAGTCCAATAAATCTTGAATTTCTTCACTTTGCTCAATTTGTCTAATTAAAATAAAATACCTGAAACAATAGAAATACCGGCGTAATATGAAAATAAAAATGGAATAATTAGATAAAAATACTAACATTACCTATGAAAATTAAATCAAATATACTATATAAAATTGCGTTATCAGTGTCTCCGCGAGGGGGACTTTGATCGATGAGCATTTTCCAATTCCCCAATCCTCTCATTTTGTTGGCAGATTAGGGAGTTGGTTTGGTTGAGAGCTGCAAATAGGACAACCATAACAAGGTCAACATTGGATGGAGCAAAGATTGCCTGAATGTTCTTTGGTGCTCCTTCTGGGCCTTCTTAATATTGTGAGCTTTGATATCGACATCTTCAACCTTGTCAAAGGATGGGGAGGCAGTACGAATTCCCCTCAATAGGATGACATCTTCAAGAAAGGGCACCTGCCATAATCATGTGTCTTACGGACAAGGAAGATGATGGGTTTGTGAGCATTGTCGTCATCATGACTGACCATGATCGAAATCTTGAATATGTGCTTTGATATTTGGTTTTCGGGAGAAGAAAGATGAGGAAAGCATATTTCCCACAAATAACGCCATTGATCTTACCGATTGTCCAGAACTTGAGTGAGCCAGAGACTTCGACTTCAATACTCGAATTAAGGAGGGGTGTACCTGCAAGACACTCGGATGCTAAAGTCAGTAGGAGCACGAAGAGATACAAGAGAGATATAAGAGATTTTAGAATGAATATTGGATATTGGATAACTAGACCTCACAAGTGTGAAAGTTTATATAATGCCTCTGACATGTAGTTATTAGTTCCTATTTTTAGATCTAGATATTATTCCCCAAAAATAGGTAACTGTCAAGACTTGGTCAAAACGTGCAGTCGTGCTCGTAACTAACAGTTGCTCCGAACAAGAAAGACATTATGAGCATGTACATTTATGGTCGCTTTCTGGTTGTCTGCTCTACAAGTGTCAAACAGACCTGGAGGTGGACGTCGATGCGGCCAGACACATGGTCAGGACATCAACGATCTCTCTGTCCTCGAGGGTGCAGTCGACCGTGTACTCAAAAATAGTCGTTATAACGAGCAGAGAGGTGCTCACGGGCAGAGATGGTTTTGGCCAATTATGGATGGTTGTCCTCGTATGGATGGCAAGGATGAGGATCAACCTGTTTGAGCATACAGAGATGGTCTCGTTGATCCTGGGACTCAACCGACCACGACTCCTCAATGTTGTGTGGCCGTTATGACGAGCAAAGAGATACTCACGGGCAAAGATGATTCTGACTATTCCTGGATGACTATTCTGCGCGTGGCTGACAGCATGAAGATCAACATGTTTGAGCGGACAAAGGTGGTCTTGTTGTTGCTGGAGGACAACCGACCATGTGTCCCTGGTTGAGGGACAGAAGAATAAAGTGTAATTTATTTTTCTCAATTAATTGGGTCAAAGCTGTTGAACCATCTTAGATGTAAAAGTGGATTGGACCATAGCTAAACGTTGGGCTAGACCAGAACAACATACATTCACAATCGTCGTTGTGTTCATGATTTGACGAAGCTTGTGATGTATAATGTTTATATTTGGTTGAAGCAATAATAGTATGTTCATAATTAATTGGAGGCCACAATTAAAAAAAAACTTTTATCTGATGACGTAACAGTATTTTGAGGGGAGGTGATATATGGATCACATGTTTCTCTTTTGAGCAGTACTTTCCTCCCGTTTCGACACACATTATAATTTATTGCATATAGGTAGTTGATTGGTAGATGTATTTTGTGCTAAGGACTCATGAAAATGTCAAACCTTCAATACATTTTTGGAACTCTCACACGAACAATTTGTAATCGGGTTTTCGACTTGTATCCTAACCTACTCATTAAAATGGGCTAGATGCTCTTTCAAGATTTATGAGGAGACATTACGAACATTAAAAAGGCTTGTCGCAATAACTCGTTGGTGTATGCTTGTCAAAAACTAATAAATTAACTTTCTAAATATAATTAGAGTATTTAATAATTAAAAAACTAAATATAATTAGAGTATTTAATAATTAAAAAACAAAGTAGGTTCGTGTACCATCAGACAGTAGTGCTCTTCAAGATTTTAGAGAAGAGATTTCAATTAGAGATTCTGAAACTCTAGTGATGGTCATTTGGATATTGGTAGTTGTTAAATGCTCCTAGTGATTTTGTCTCCAAGGGGTTGTTTGAATATTTCTAGGACAAGAGCGCCCCAAACTTCTAGACAGAGAGATTGAAGGTCTTCTTATTTGTCCTTCAAATTGTCTGCATTAACCTAGAGAGATTGAAGGTCTTCTTATTTGTTCTTCAAATTGTCCGCATTAACATTCTCATGTTGTATGGCTTGAGCATCCGTCTGCAAGTGCTCATTTTGGCATCACAACTCCTTTATTTCAGCTTGAATTGCGATGGAAATTAAATTCCGTTTTCTTCTGATGGAGGTTGGATTCACACCACCTTTCTTAGTTTCCGCGGAGAAACTACTTTATCGCTCTCACTAGTTAGATCTTATTAGCAGAGTCCGTGACCAAGGTACTTAGTGTTTAGGTTATAATACGTTCCAGCTCAATCCTTTCCCTCTTGATGTTTTTTTTTTTAATATAATGAAAGGCCTATAGCCCCTTGTTCTACCATCATGGGTGAATCAACCTTCTTATTAGCAGGGTCCGTGACCAAGGTACATAGTGTTTAGGTTATAATAAGTTCTCAATCCTTTCCCTCTTGATTTTGTTCTCTTGAATATAAAGAAAGGCATATAGCCCCTTGTTCTACCGTCATGGGTGGATCATCCTTCTCAGCTGGATAATAGCCCCCTGTTCGACCATTGCATGCGTATAATACTATACAGGTCGAGTTAATAACAAAATTAAGACGTTCTAATTGCTATTACTATTAGGGCTTTGGAAACAATTTTTTAAATAGTCTTTTAGCTAGATTATTAGTATGAAGATAATCCTAACAAAGAGTACTATGTATGTGATAATTCATGTTGCTTGCACTTCTCAATAATAACAACAAAAGTCATGGTAAAGATATCCGTGATATTCAAAATTATGGTTTCAAATGCCATGGTTCAAAAAAGAACTCTCAAATCCATTCATAGTTCGCTATCAAAGAAACATGTGCAGTGCAAGTGCAATTGTTTTTCCAAAGGCAGTTTCTGTTGTACTTTCGAGTACTCTCAACAATCAAATTGGATGCTCTATCACGGCTTGTATTCACTAATGCCACAATTCAACAAAATCACTGATCAACTTCAACTCCACAGAGAAATTTTGAACAATCTCATGTAGCTTACATAATATTTCCCAGTTTTCCAATATTCTCGTCATTCATCTACCCGACCACTATATATCTTGTACTATCTGTACCTTTACAAAGTGAGTAAGTCTGCATATACAAACGCAACATGATTATAAGACTAGACTGACCAGATGGCACATCAATAACCTCAAATATAGACAAATCCCCGATTACATTTATAGATATGAAGTGAAATTATGCCTAAACTTCTGCTATATAGCAAACTTGAGGAATTTCAAAATGTTAGTATCTTACTATCTTCCTGGATGATTGATCCCCCTGGGTATCAAGAGTGTAAACGGTATCCCAAGAAGACGCAGATAAGTGCCACCATACAGACATATAGAAGTGGGAACCCGATTTGAACTTTTCTTGGACCTTTATTAATGAGTTCTGCCTGCAAATATAAATCAAGCCATCCTTGAGTTTCAGAAATAAAAACTAAAATTTACAGGATTAATTAGGGAACACCCTTAAAGAGGACATTATAAAATTGCATATATTCGAGCATGTAATGGGGAAGAATTCTTAAGTAGCAAGCAATATTTGAATTAGTCCTGACAAGCAAACTATGGAATTGACAATGTAAATATCAATAGTGATCAACTTTATCAGTGTACGCAAATGTCAGGGTGGTTACCTCCCAAATCCCCCTCCTCTCTTTTTCCTGCTGCAATTTAATTGTGATTTGTGCACAAACTCCATGACAACTAATGATTGTTTTACAAAAACAAATAAATACAAAATAAATCCTAAAAAGACCAGATGCTTGACAGTAAAAATGTATTACTTGCTTATCTCTCTGTTCCCCTCACACATGGAGAGTTTCTATGGAAAAGTGAGGTGAAGAAGCTCATTTCAACTTATCCAGGAAACTATTATCATAGCCATTGTCAGGCTATTTCAACTTTTCTTTTCCTATAAGTGCTTACTGAAAACTCATCCAAACTGGTATATGGCAAGAACCCCTAAGTAAATCCCACAAAAACTTTACTATTTACTTGATAACTAAACAGTGGTTCTCAAGCTTACTAGTTTTTCTTGCAAGATCTTTGACTCTTCATTGCTTAATTGCCTCTCCTCTGTTAACTTTGATATTGTTGCTCCAGACTGCAAAATAAGCAAAAACTCGATCAGCACTTCAATAAAATCAGTAGAGAATAGAATGAAAGTAGAAAACCACTAGAACAAACATAAACCCCATATCAACACGGTTAGGAAACCAATATGCTCCATTGCTTCATCACCAATGTTATACACAAAGTATTGATGAACATTTTCACAAAGGATTGAGCCTATAGGGATGCTAGGTTAGGAGCTTTCAGATAATCACACTCCACAAAACAACATCACACCCCTATACGTCCAAAAAGACATTCTTTGCTAGCTCCGTTGTGGCCTTTTCTAATTCCAACTTATATTTTTTGAAACACTATGTATCAGATCTTAAACAATTATGTATACAATTTAATCAAATGATACAAGGGAAAAGTAGTGTATATAAGGATCAACCTAATCACACAAAAGTATGTGAGGCCATATAATTTATGAGTTAGATAACTACTAATTTGAAGTACAATTAGGTTTAACACATCTAATCAGATTTCATCTTGCCAAATCATGATTTTACTTAAAACATGTTCATAATTACACCATAGCCAGATAGTGAAATATAATTGGATGTTCGTTTAAATTTAAAACCTATTTACACTATGAATGTGCAGTTTATTAGTTTACTAACATATATTTATTTCAGCAAGTGTGCCAAAAATATTACAACAAGCAGGAAAGGGACTAACTAACATCTCAAATCACAAAATTGAAAACATATGACCAAAATAACTGCCAAGACAACGCATTAATAACAAAAATCTCAATGTGGTAGCAGGGAAAGTTCATATAGTAACTTGTTTCGATACGCAACTTGCTAGGAAACATGTTACATATGCAACTGCAAGCAGATAAAATAAATTCACAGTAGAATAGTGGGATGCCTGACCTCATTTAGCTTTGACTCAAGTCTGTCTAGTTTTAACTTCATCTCTTCAATTGCTTCAAGCAGTTTCAACTCCTCTATACCTTTTGAAACTCTTACCTCTGCTTCTTTTTCTGGCTTTAGTTCCCCAACATTCTTTACAGTCTTAATCACCCTATCTGTTGACACTATTAACTCTCTTTCATTTTTTGGCTTCAGTGCCTCTGCATTGTTTACTGTGGTCAAATGATCTTTTGACACCATCAACTCTGCTTCTTTTCCTGGTTTCAGTTCTTCTGCATTCTTTATTCTGATTGAACCCAGATCTTTTGACTCCTTCATCTCTGCTTCTTTTCCAGGTTTCAGTTCCTCTGCATTCTTTACTGTGATTGAATCCAGATCTTTGGGCACTTCTACCTCTATTTTTATTTGTGGCTTCAATTCCTCCACATCCTTTGCTGGGCTCAACTCTTCATCTCTTGACACTTTCAACCCTGCTTCTTCTCCTGGCTCCTCTACATTCTTTATAGCATCCAACCCCATATCATATTCCACCCTCAACTCCACATCCTCTTCAAGCTCTACCTCGTGAACCTTATTATAATCTGGTTTTTTAAGAACCTAACATAACATCACAAAACACTTGAATGACATGCTTAATAAGTAGAAGTAGAAATAATCCAACACATGCACAAAGGCTACATCAGCTAGGATGACAGCACTGGGAAAACAAAGGAATTTATAACATGTTCAAGGAATGCTTCCCAAGGGACTAAAGAAAATGCGCAAGAAAAAAAATCGACATATCCATAGCGATGTAATTATCAAATTAAGAAATTAACAATCCAGAAAAAATAATTGCCAAACCCTCAAGAGTATGTCGCTAAGACTTTCAGTTATTCTTAAGGATTTGAAATGTCTATGAGAGAAAAAAGAGGTGGTGGAAAGAAAAGAACTAAGATCCAAACATCAATGAAGTTACGCCTAACCATGGGTTCAGGGGACTGGATTTCAATTTCATCTTTACTATGTATCTGAAATTTCCTGTGATCAAACCCATTCCTGGAGTCTCCATTAACAGGACTTAGTTCTGGTGAATCAGGTGGGCTGATCAGAGACACCTTCAGCTTATTTTCTTCTACATATCTCACTCCGTCTTTGACAAACTATCATTATATAAAAATAAAAAGTCAGAATAAAATAAATAAATCAGTAATGAAGGCTACCGGATACAAAATTACAGCCTATGAAGTATATCCATACCAAACTGGCAGTAACATCTTCGCTGGTTATTTCCGCATCAACCAATGTGCTTTGAACTAAGAACTTGTCCTTGCAGACCAAATCTTCAGGAGCTACCCGTTGAGCTTGCATTGTAACTGTTTGATGCAAAAGTTAAAAATAAACAAAAAAATCAGGGGGAGAAGAGGATTCATCTTTAAATGTTTTATTTTATTTTATTTTATTTTTTGAAAACCAATACTCCTAAAAAACTACTTTTATTTGAAAAAACTGTCTACAAGGATACATTAAGCTCAGATTACTACAGTTAAAATTGAAAAAAGAATGCTAAGTATTCATCATAAAAAACCCTAACATGACAAATTCAAGTCTATTCCACATGTATCCCAATATTAACTGCCACAATGCCTAAACCTCACTCTCAAATTCTCAATAGAGCTTTAATTAAGGATATGATTCAATTGCATCAGTTCGAACACGATCCCGATGCTAACACGGGAACACCAATAATAATTTGAAAAATGAATAAATTAAAGATAATCACAAATGTCGGTGCTAGTGTCCAATACCGACACTGACACACTTATTTTCGAGATGTCGGTGCTACATAAATCAACCATCAAGGAATCAAAAACCTCTTTCTGATACAAACAAGAGCAGTAAACCTAATTGAATCTTCACAACCATTATAAACTATCTAAATCACAATTATGCAATAACAAAATCAAAAAGAAAATAACAAAGAAGTTATATACCTATGAATTCACCACTAGATTTTGGCGCGAGAACTCCAACATTTGGTCGCACCGAATATTTCTTAGGCGACGTCGTTTTAACCTGAAAACATCAAAACATCACATCAAAACGACTAATCTCGATCAAAACACCATACCTAACAATAAACAGCGATAAACCAAAGAAAATCGATAACAACAATCCATACCTTAAAAGCAACATAGTGATAAGTATTATTCGTCACCTGAACCGAACAAGAACTCTGTTTCTTCAATTCAACTACAGCGAACGAAAATCGAAGTATATCAGTAACGGATCACACACAAACACATTACGAATTCACAAGCATTAGAAAATTCACTTACATATGAATTTGAGTTCCCTCGGTTCAATTTCGAGAATCGGTGTCTTGTTCATGATTACACCAGAAAGAGTAATGAAAATCGAATCAACGGTGTTTCTGTGAAAACGCTCGATTCGAGGAGAAGAAGAGGGAAGAACGAGTCAACTCGAGTGAACTCGGAGTCAGAGATTTTTTTTATTTTGTTTCTAATTTCATGCACGATGGCATTGAATGAGAATAAGCGTGTGAATCGTGATCTTGTTTGAAATGGAAAGTGAGTATATTCAGAGAGTGGGAGAGTTATTATTGAGTTAACGAAGGAAAATAGATAGAAGGGAAAGAAAATATGGAAATGCGTTTTTTTGTTTAAAAATAGTGTGTAAATAGAAATTAGTAATCCAGTAATAAATAAATATTAATTTATGGTAAAATGTATTTTTCATTTTTGATGTGAGGAGCACGTAGCATCTCAAGGGAAAGGGACTTGTAGGGATGGGGTACCTTTTAACCGACACGGAGCCGGGTGGTTTGCTTCTTTATCGTGGCTCGGCGCGCCAGCGTTAACACAAGACGGTAGTGTCTCAACTGAATATTTACTACTATTAAAATTATCTTTGATGTTTTTTTTAAATAAATTATTTAATTCTATGTGGTCTTGCCATCTCAATATATTTTACATTATATCTAAATATCTAAATTCTTTTTGGAAAAAGAAAAAAAAACATTGTTCACGTTTTGATGGATACATGATCTAAATAGAAAAATAAATATAAATAAAAAAAATACATAAAAGTTTGGGTTAATATTCAATTTGTCGATTTTTTATAGCAATAATCAAATATTGAAAAAAAAATACACAAATAACTATATTTTGGAGAAAATTACGCAAATAATCATGTTTCAGAAAATCCCACAATGGAGGCGCCAAGTAAGATGGCGCCAAGTGAGATGACGCATGCACTCACCTTTTTGCCTTAGGCGTCATCTCACTTGGTGCATACACTTTATTTTAGCCAAGTGAGATGGCGTATGCACTATAAAAAGAGGAAGGAGCGTCATCTGAGATGACTATTACATGCAATTGTGTTATCTATAAATAAAACACTCATTTCTCCATCATTCTTCACACTTTCTCACACTCTCTTCTTATTTTTTCTTTGTTATTTGCGTCATGACATCTCCCATGATTTTCACCAGATATAGATACGTTATTTTCTCGGCTACCAAATCTCTGATGAAAATGAAACTTTGGCACATTCACTCCATGGCGCGTCTGAAGAGAGAGTTGATGCGATGACTAGAGGGAGACATTGAGGCTGGGGAACAAATTAGAAGGATCCAGAGAAGAAGAACAACCACCTCACTTGCAACTAAAAGAACTCAATCTTGGTTGGAGGAAGTCAAAACAAACAGAGACGTAATGGTGATGATGCATGGCTCAAATGAAATTGTTTTGACGGTTGTAATTTCTTAGACGTTTTATCGTGTTTTTATTTGTTGTTTGCGTATGTTTTGTTGTAACAAATACTCTTAATGAAAAAAGTTATGTTTACAACTTAAAAAAGTGCAGATGGTTTCCATACAATTTTTATGTTGTCGAACTTGTAGCCCGAGTTGGACAATTTTTTCGATTGTGTCTGATCTGACGACATAAACCACACTTTTTTTCTAGCTTGTTAAGGGAGTCCATTTCAGTTGTGATACACTTGCTTTTGGCACAACCATTTTTATTCCTTCGCATTTAATCATTATGCCATATTATTTCCCTGTCGTATGCAGATCAATAATCAGGTTTCGCTACCATTGAGAAGCCAATGTTGTATACGTTGAGCAAGGTTTCAGACTTATAAATGGGAGATAGAAGTAGCAATGCATCTTGATGAGTATACGCACATGCCGCAATGACATGAGATCAAGGCATACAAAAGACTTGAAACTTTCCACAATCGCACTAACGAGATGGTAGTATAACCCTATACTCTTATCTTGGCAGCCCCTTGTTATAGTCGATTGTCTCTTTGACAATGAAGTTGTGGCTATGTGGGTAAAACCTTATAACAAGATGGGTGTTAGCTTTGGCACTTTATGCCTTAATATACTTCATGCAACTTTCACTCTATAGTTGTCCCGATTATAAGACCGCATTCTATATTTCACCTCTTTTGGCAAACAATGAAGCCATCCAAAATATGTTGATTTCACCAAAGCAGTTACTGGGAGGTTTCGTATGCCTTTGAATACACTATTCATTGATTAGATAAGATTTGTTGTCATGTAGCCCCATCGCTGTCCATTGTCGTATGACCTTGTCCATTTCTCCACTAGAATATTATCAATCCACCTACTTGGATTCGGATTTGACAATCTGATCTCGTTGTGTAGTGTTTGAATGAAGTTTGTGTTAATGCATACTCCGCATTCATACCTATTTTCCTAAGAGCCTTGTCTTTGATCTCCCTCGTGAAATTTTGTACGATATGTCTAATGCAGTAGACATGCGTAGAAGGAGGGTCATGTCAACCATTTGCAGGATTATTGTATGCATTCTCAATAAATGCATGTTTGTCGGAGATCAAACAGAGACCGGGTTGAGGAGCCATGTGTGTTTGGATATTCTGAGAAAGAAACTCCAAGCACCACGAGTCTCTCCCTCGACTAGAGCAAAGGCAATTGGGAAAATGTTGTTGCCATCTTATGCAACTGCCATCAGTAGCGTGCCTTTGTATTTCCCGTACAACCACACTCCATCTATTTGAATAATAGGTTTGCATGATGCAAACCCTGTGATGCAAGGTTGAAAAGCCCAGAACATTCGACTAAATATTCCATTTCTGTTTACATGAGTACCATCTGAGGTGTATGCCGACAATGTTTCCATAATATAAACAGTTCCAGGAGAATACGTATGAAGTGCATGGAGGTAGCACAATAGTTCTTTGTATGACTCCTCCCAGTTTCCATATACCTTTTCAATCGTAACCTATCTCGAATATGCGGGTTTTGGAAATGTTATAAAAATCTCAAACTGCACGATTGATTCCAAGTTTATACTTGCAATGTTGGAAAGGTGGAGACCCGAGACACACACATTTCATCTACCAATAGGTGAATGTACTGTCACACTAGAGGACGTGTACATGTTATTGGGTATCCCTATCGATGGTAAGGCAATTATTGGTTCGGTTCAACAACCTAATTCTCTATACAAGGAATTGTTGGGCAAAAATATGGTAGAAGGTAGTGGTGTTATAGGCCAAGGTATATTACTAACTGAACTCAAAAAACATTATGCGGCTCTTAAGTTGAATGAAAATTCGTCAGAGATAACAAGAATAATAAAAGCTATAAATTATATGATGATACTATTTGGAAGCTTGTTATTTCCCGAAAGTACAGGGAATAGTGTAAATTTTATGTATTTAAGTTTGCTTAGGAACTTTGAAAAAACAAGAAAGTATAGTTGGGGTTCTGCTGTTTTAGCCCATCTATACAGTTCTTGGTGTAAAAACGCAATAAAGGACAAATGTATTTTTTATGGATGCGCTTTCTTACTCCAAGTTTAGGGTTGGTGGAGAATGAATTCCTTTAGGTACTACATAATGGGTATGGATTACGGCAAGAATCCAAGATTCAATATCGCTCTATATCATAATCTATTGGATCACCTTGACTCGGATGATGTACGTGGTACCTTTGAACTTTTCTACTTTTAAATTATTTATTTTTTATGTTTTCATTATGCTGATTTAATTTTATCCACAATTTATCTGGAGACCATATTTGGGTTTGGACCATGAACTAAACTCCGAGGATGCAACAGTTTGGACTACAAAGACTGCAATCATACAGTTCAACATTATGGAGATGCACCACAACGATCGTGTCAAGATGCAGTTTGGAATGCATCAAGAGATACCATGCGATCCAACTTGTTTGTCACCCTGGCATCTGTTGGCTCCTAAATTCGACACCCACGTTCTATTATCATATAAATCATTAATTATGAGTCAGAAGAGTTTCCTACACAAGAAGGCTTCGACCAACTGATCACATCGAAGGCTCATCAAAGAATGACAACATGCTTGGAGAAATTCCTCTAAGTTGGAATCATGTTATCTTCGATGTTGAAGGAGCAACCTTTCGACCAAGGTCCCTGATGCCCAAGATCGAACAGTTTGAATTTTGAATTGTTGGAGGGAAAACGGTTCCCAGCAGTTACCAAGCGCAACGTGTCGTGAACGTAGGCGTCGAAGGTTATGAGCGTGCCATGTGGTGTCATCACGAAGCGGTATGACTGCCCAGCAGTTACTTAGGATTTTTTTAGTATAAATACTAAGTGTTCACGAAGTTATTAAGTGTGTTCATCATTGTATACAAGTCACTCATTTAGATTCAAGTACCCAGCGTGAGAGAAAGAATCATTGAGAATGTATGTGTGAAACACCATTTACCTTAATCAAAATCTTTTACATTCAAGCAATTTATCGCTTTCACTTATTTACCTCAGTCGAAGTCATTTATTTAACAACCCTTTAATGCTTTTATTTACTTTATCAAGCTTTTCTCCATGCAATTTATTTAAAGTGTCTCTACTTTACTTGCATTAATCACCATTAGGATTAGTCGAAACTCTTTATTTCAAAGCATTTAAACTCCAAAAATCAACCATGTCTTAGGATCAATCTGATCGATCCTGCGAGTCACCAAATAAGTAACCTTTTGGAAGATCAACGGATGTTTACCATTTTTCACGGCAAACAAATTGGCACACCTGGTGGGACCTTGTGTTGATTTTTTCACGTTTAATCGTTTTATATAAAATATCCTCCTTTTTCGAGAGTATTGCATGTTATTGAGAAGTGGTAGAACATACACCAACGAAACCAATACTAGGAGAAGAGTTAGAGAAATGGCGAATCTGCCAAACAATGGAGAAATCCCACAAGCAAACGTGGGAGCAACGGTTATCCCAACCATAAGCGAAGTGGTAACCGTTGGTTCAACGTCAGCAGTAACGATTACGCAAATGGGGCCATTACCTCCATTTACAGGGCCCAGAATGCCCTTGGGAACTCCCCAACCTAGGGGAAACCAAGGAACCAGACCATATGTTCCCCCAGGTTTTTCGACAGTCGGGTTAAATCGAGAACCACCCTACAGCATGCCAACTTCTGAATTGGCTAGCCTGACGAACACTACGTCCACCTTTTCAGACCCTTTAGTGAGCGCCTCTTCGCCACTCCAAGGCTCTGGTATTGGTATGGCGAACAGGGGTAGGAACCAACTCTTAGGAGGAACGTCCCACGTAATGCCTGGCCTTACGAATGCCTCGACAACAGTCTTGAGGCAGCAAATGGACGAAAGCAACCACGACATGGTTCAAATGTTGGCGCA